TCCACTATCACCCTCGTGTTCCCGCAGACTTCCTTCGACCGTCACAGATGCACCCCGACACGAGTTGTCTCGCGCTGGATGATTGGGTTGCACACATGACGTCGATCATGAAGACCGCGCATGAGCATACAACCGCTTCCCAAACTCGCATGGCCGCACGTGCGAACCGATCGAGGATGGATCATTCATTCAAACTCGGTGATGATGAGCTTGTCGACGCTCGCCACTTACAGCTCGAAGCGGACATACTTCACAAGTTTCGGCGACGCTTCTTTGGCCCATGCCGCATTCTCTAGGCCGTCGATTCTGATACGGCATCTAGCCCGGTCAGCTTCCATGTGAAGCTGCCCGACTACCTACGCCAGGCTCGTGTGCACGATGTCTACCATGTCTCGTTACTGCGTCCCTACCGCAGACCGTCTGAGCGTTTCGCTGGACAACCATGCAAGCGCACTCCACGCATCATGGTGGACGGCAACGAGGAGTTCCTCGTTTCATATATCATTGGTCGTCGATTCACCGACGACAACCCTCCTCACATCGAGTATCTCGTACGTTGGAAGGGTTACCCTGATGAGGAGGCTACCTGGGAGTCCCTCGAGCACTTGCAGCACGCTCGCATGTTGGTGTGTGCCTATGACCGTGCTCGTCGTGCTGAGTTGACTGCTCCTCCTCAGCCCACTGACCCTCTTCCTTCTCCCTCGGCTGAGGAGACCGCTGAATTCGAGTTTGCCCCATCTGAGGCAGAACTTCAGCAGTAGCGGGATGCCTCTGAGCGTCCACAGCGCACTCGTCGTCGTCTTGCTCGATATGACGATTGACTCTGACTTATCTTCCCACGTCTTTGACTTCTCAATACTCCATCCACTACAGTTCTGCTACTTCAGCTCGTCGACGTTGCAACTCTTCCTCGACGACATTCCGGACTTCCCTTCATGAACGTCATTGGCAACTCCACGGACCTCGTCACGATCAACTCTGCCTACTTCAGACGTCTCACTCTCTTACCACTTTACCCTGTACAGTACCCTCATTGTGTCGCCTAATGGTTTCCCTTAGCCAGGTTCCTCTGAGTTGGGCTCTCCCTCGGTATACGCATAGGCATCGGGACCGTAGCGTTGCCCTGGCTTCCCAGCTTACGAATCTAGCTCCGACTTCCCTCACCTTAGGAGTCATTTGCATGATTCCCTTACCCAGTATTTTTTCTACCCTCTGCCGGCCCTCACGCCCTAGTTAGGTAGCCTTGCATGCTTCATCCAGGTGCGCCCAGTATACCAGGTTCACTTATTCCCTTGCATGGTAGACCCTACATAGCGGTCACCCCTTCAGTCGAGCATTACCCGCCCTGATGGTCTATCTGTTAGGGTCATTGGTTGTGTTCGTTCCCAGTTCCCTACCCTCATTGAGCCTGATGACATGTGTCTCCCTGTTTTTATGTGTGGATGCCTTTAGGAGTTATCGACATCTAGGTTGCATTTGCCACCCTCAGAGACCATCCCACCCTATGGTTTGCGGCACACCCCTCCTGTGACATATGGTTGTCTTGTTATTGTTTTGTTGCTCTCAGACTGAGGCCTTTGACATTTCTAGGATTTAGTTGTTTTTGCTTTGGCTGTTCTTAGGACTTGTACACTGGTCAGTTGTTTCCAGACTGAGGCTATTGCCTCCAACATTCTAGGATTTTCTTATGAAATGTATACTAGTTAGTTGCTTTCTGCTTTCACTTAGACAGTTAGTTGTGACATTGCTGCTTTTGTAACATTTTCTATCCTAGGTTGCATCGCATGGACTCAGCTTGGAGCTTGTTCCGCATCCTAGACTACCCGGGTTTTCTTTTCTTTGGTAGAGTTCAGCTTCTTGGCGGAAGCGTGCTTGTATTTAGGCGATCCATCACAGGCCGAGGATCGTGTAGCGGACCTTTGGTTGGCTTGTGAGACCAGCCTCTTGGCCTGTTCTCACATGCTTGTGTTGTATTCGGGGTAGTCCAATCCAGGCCTGTACCTCCGTCGGTACCAGCCAGTCCAGTCCAGTCCAGTTAGTCCGCTGGGGTATACCCCAGCCAGAGTCTGTACTTTGGATCATTCTACATTCGCACAGTTTGGAGTACGTGCGTTGGAGTGTGCGTGGGAGCTGTGTTGTGCCATCTTGCTCCACCCTCATCCTCCATCTCCATCTCCATCCAGGCGGAGCACCTCACCCGGTGGTTCGGCCACACTGCCGAAGCCAGGTAATGGGCCCGATATCTCAATTTGTTATGTATAATTTCTCATATGGGACACTGGGCCCGGTTCCCAGTACATGCTGCTTCTGTTTCCAAAACAAAATAAAAAATGCCCTAGCTTACCGGGGTGGACGTCGGTTAGCCCCCCGAGTGTCTTGTCCGGTTGGGCAACTGCCCGAGATGTCCAACTGAGACAATACGTCCACCCCCTACAAAAAAATAGGAGGGGGCTGGTTCTCGCTGGTTCGGGGATCGGTGGGCGGGTCTCTGGGAGGTCTTGGGCTGGCAGACCAGGCTTGAAACATAATTTTGTTGAGGCCGGTAAGGCCTGAGAACTTGGAAAAAATAGCCCAATCTGGGCCGTCAGATCTTTTGAGTAGTAGTCTTAGTTTGAAGTTCCTAAATCAGAGTTTTGCTCTGATCTCAAGGGATGATTACCAAGATTGACTGTAAGATGGATTTTCTAATTCTGAGCGGAATTCCATGTCTGATAAATTTTCAATCCTGATTTTTCATGCTAAGACTTTTGCTCTTGATTTTTTTCTGATTTGAAAGGCGAGAAGTCGATACTTTAGTTGTTGGAGTTCTGAGTTGAAATTCCAAGTTCCTGAGGTACTGTATTGATATCTTAGATTTCCAGGGCTGGTTGTGGTATGACATTGGTTTGGCGGTGGGGGACTTGTTAGGGAGGATATAACCCGTCTTGCTGGTGAAGGGGGCTAGCCAGTTGGATGGAAAGAGGGCACGACGGCGCTTGGTCATGGTAAGTCCTGCTGGAGTAGGTAAAGAGGGAAGAGGGAGGGTTTTGGTGTGTGACCACAGCCGGTACATGGAGATTATCACGGCGGTAGGTTTTCACAATTTCACTTGGTATACGGTATGCATACACAGGCATTGATCAGGGTTGGGGAGTTTGTTTTGTGGAGCATATTACCCTGGAGAGGGAGGGGTGTGGGTTTGACCTTTTCAGGGCCAGACTGATTTTGGGGTCGGATCAGTCATGGCAGTTGGGGGAGGGGGTCAAGGGGCTTGAGAGGATTGATTTGGGGAACTCTAGTTCTGTGGGGCCATGTGCTTGATGTGGTAAGGAAATTGTAAGTCCCTGAGGGAGCTGGAGTGACCTGGAGGAAAGGGTAATTAGGGTGGAGAAGGGGGAACTGTAGGGATTTTGTTTTTGTTTTTGTTTTTTGAAAACAACCCGATCGTCTGCAAGGGGTGCTCATAGGAGCAAACATCACTAGCATCGTCGAGGAGGCTCCATCTATTGGTGGGGAGCAGCACCTGCTGGAAATTGGGTCCAGCGTCCCTGTATAATACAATGTGAGAAACAAAGGTAGTGTAAGCATTCTTGGCGCAGTGAATGTCCCAATGTTTTATCAGGTCTTTGGTAATGGAGTATTCAGTGAACTATCACTTATGATGTTGGTATCCTGACCTGTTGAGATTCACTGACTGTTTATGTACTATCTATCTATCTATCTTGTCGTTGCCATATGTTGTTGTGCCTATGTCTGTTGAGGTTACTCCTGCGTGTGTTTCTTGCCTCATATCGCGGTGTGCTTTATAAGATGTGGTTAAGAGTGTTCCTAACTGTGATCCTAACTGTGTTCCTAACTGTGTTTCCTATGGAACATGCATGAATGTCAGTCAATTTGTCAGTGGGCTAATTCTATCCAGCGCGATTATGCGGCCAATGAGCCCAAGTGTTATGGCAGGTCTCTTTAAACCCTTAACCCCTTACACCCACAAGTCCATAAACCCTTACACCCTTAGACCCTGTTGACCGTCATTCATCCTCTTGCCTGCCATAACTTGGACTGCATTCTTGTGCGGTGCTGTATCAGCATGCGGTAAGGTGTTAGCATGGTTATGTGGATCTGCCTTAGTCACCTCCTATCCCCACCTATCCCCACCATCCCCAAAACCATCTGATCCCACCCACCCAGACTACCGCTGTTACTGACTCAATCTCATGTCTTTTGTGTTCTTTATTCAGAAATGTGGGGGCATGAGGCTACAGCCCCAACGGCCCCCCGGTGCCCACCCTCCCAATAATCCCATATCACTGTATCTTGTAGTCTACTGTCCCACTGACCCAGTATATCACAGTGAGTAGCTATGTCGTGCTGTGCCAGGCTGTCCACTCGGCAATCATAGTCCCATGAGGGGGTGCTGCGCCTTTCTGTGCCCAACCCCTCAGCACCCCAACCCCCGTCTGACCTCCACAGGTCCTGGTATTGTTGTAAGCTCCCCGATTTGAAGTGGTTCGTCCCTTTACTCCAGTAAGTACGTGCTTCGACTGAAGAAGGTGTGGAAGATGTGGCTCTAGTCTTCATGCTCCATGCCCCTCCCTTGCGTTGCCTCTGTTACCCTTTGCTGTTCCTCCGTCGTTGGGGTCGTAATTGATGCGTGGTACTCCTTGAGAGGGAGGGAGTCCTTGCTTGGCCAACAATCAGCATCGGGGTGGAGGAGGGGGGGAGGGGGAGAGAAGAAAGTGGTTGGTGGTTGGTGATTGAGTAGTGGAGGGGGGGCACAAGGGGGGGGGCGGGGGAGCAGTGGGGCTCGCGCACATTACGGGGGCATGTGCGTGATGTGGTAAGGAAATTGTATGTCCCTGAGGGAGCTGGAGTGACTGGGGGGAAGAGGTAATTAGGGAGGGGAAGGAGGGAGGGGCAACCCAGATCTGCAAGGGCATGTGCATGATGTGGTAAGGAAATTGTAAGTCCCCGGGGGAGCTGGAGTGACCCAGGGGAAGGAGCGATTCTAGGGTGATTGGGTGTTCTTAAAAAAAACAAAATGATGATGTTTTGCCGGTCAAAAATCGAGGTCAGTAGGAGAAGTAGATGGTGGGATATCAAGCGTCCTACTAATGAGGGGGCTAGCTCGTAGGATGGAAATAGGGTACAGCAGCAGTGCAGATGGTGGCTCTGCTGCAGTAAGTCTTGCTGGAGTGAGGTAAAGGGGATTGATACGGGGTTTCTGAGTCATTTTCTGAATTTCGCCTATGTTCTTGTTTTCTTAGCCATACTTCCAAAACATCTGTAAATTTTTCATATGGACGCTGGGCCCGGTTCCCAGCACGTGCTGCTCCCCACGAATAGATTGGAGCTTAAGAAAAAAAAAAAAAAAAAAAAAAAAAACTTGAAGATCGACAACCCAGATGGGGCCTTTTTGAATTTGAAAATTTGCCTGGGTCTGCCCCCTGCCAGGGCCTGGAAAATTGATGGCCTAGATTTGTTGCAGCTACTGTTGCAGCAGTTGCAGCTGCATCAGCAACACCATGCGCACGAAGCAACGTCTTCTCTGTATTTATGTTCAATTGCTGCAGCAGCAACAACACCTGCAACTGTTGTTGCAGCTGCAGCTGCAACAATTACTGCAGCAGCAACAACAGCTGCAACCAAGTGTTGCAGTTACAGCAATAGCTGCAGCTGGGACAACACTTGTTGCAGTTGTAATAGCAGGTGCAGTTGTTGCTGCAACTGCAGCACTTTGTTGCAGCTGCTGTTGCTGCTGCAGCAGTTGTAACAAGTGCTGTGTCTGCAGCTGCAACAGCAGTTGCAGGTTCTGCAGGTTCTGCAGGTTCTGCAGGTGCTGCAGGTGCTGCAGTTGCAGCAACAGCTGCAGCTGCGACAACACTTGTTGCAGCTGCTGTTGCTGCAGCAGCAGTCATTGCAGCTGCTGCGACAAGTGCTGCAACAGCAGTTGCAGGTGCTGTTGCTGCTGCAACAACAGTTGCAGATTCTGCAGTTGTTCAAGGTTCCCCACCCGCAGGGCCTGCAACTGCTGCACCTACACTGACGTAGGTAGGTTGTGTGGCAATGTGTGCCCAATAACCCCCCCCCCCCCTCTCTTTTTTTTTGTCCTCCAAACACCTCAGAATTCTTTTTTTCTGGGGGTCCCTGCAGCGAGAGTGCGGAGCATTGGCGCCAAAACCCGACTCGTAGGCCATCCAGATCTGCCAGAAAACAGTTGTCCGGGATCCCGGGCAATTCGGGTCCTCGACGTCCGGCCGAAACACTTGGTAATCGGACATTTGGTAGCCTAGGAAAAAGCACTTGATCTTGGTTAGCCAAAAGGCCAAGAAACTCGAAGAAAGGTATTGATTTCACATTTGCAAACTGTCTTTTTCTTTTGGCTTTCACATTACTTGGTGGCAGATTCTGGACCTGGTTTCAAGCAAGTGCAGCGTTCCACCAGTAGACAAGGAACCATCCTGGGAAGCAAGTGTGCTCTTAGCACCCTTAGACAGCAAGGCACACACAAATGGTGTGCCCCCCCCTCCCCCGAAGAAAACCCTTGGTGGCTGAGCACTGGAGGGAGACACACAGCTCCTCCCAGTAGAGGGCCCAACCTTTTGAGAATTTTTTAAATATCTTGTTGCCGGGGGCCCTGTGCCCAAGGCAAGAGTACACATGGAGGAGATGAAAGATTCAGGGGCAGCTCCCCAACAATAGATGGAGCTTGTTTAAAAAAAAAAAAAAAAAAAAAAAAGGC